TGTTTCTCAGGAGGGTCCTGCACTGCTGTTTTATTTGAGAATGTTTTCAGCCAATTAACGACGAACTTGATTTGAAGCTTTCGTGACTGCAGGAATTACTCTTTGGTTCTTTCGGTAAAGTCACGTAGAAAGAAAATAAAAATAACACGCAAAGCCTCCGGTCCGCAGATCTGCCGGAGGCTTTTAGTTTATTTCTACATGACTTTACCGAAAGAAGCAAAAGAGTAATCAATGACGAGTTGTGTTTATTATTATTATTATTATACATGTGGGAGGAAACCGGAGCACCCTGACAAAAAACCCACGCGTGAGCGAGGGGGCAACACTGTATCCCCATGTATATGGAGACAGATGGCGGTTAGTCCACTTGCTGCACCACCCGCTCCTGGCCAGCCAGGGTACGGCACCTCGACGTCCATGGGAAAGGAGTTGCACAACGTGCGCGCGTGTGATCCACCAACCTCCCGCCGGCCGTGACAGTGTTGGATTACAGACGCGCACCGCCACCGCCGCCCAGCTTGAAATTGAAGTTGAACTTGGACACGGCTATCCCGTGCCCGGAACACCGTCACGAAACGCAACTGTGGTTGTGCCCGCGAAAGTCCTAAACAAGAATCTGAGAATTTATGGACACGCCCAGTACAAGCAACCAATCGGCCAACCAGAACAGGCGTAATAATAATAATGAGGGTGAGATTCCTCACGTTTAAGACGCCCAAGCCAGACGACCATACATAAGAGTCACAAATGAGTTGGTTAATCTAGTGGGGGGGAGGGGCGGGGGGGGGGGCTTTTTTGCGTTATCGATCATCGCATGCAAAAAAAGATATTGATTGATAAAAAAAAATCGATTATCGATTTGGCACACAAATCTGCACGTCTAACAAAATAAAAAAAGAGTGCGGCGCTGCTCATGTGTCGTTTGCGTTTGCTCGAACATACCACGGAACCGCCTAGTCCAGCCGCCGGCGCCTTACTAAGGCTGCCGCGCTGACCAATGGCGTTCGCGCGCGCCAACCGTGCGGTTACCGCATCTCATTGTCAATTATACGTGTTTGGGAATTGATAAGGGATTAAACTATTTTTAAACAACTTTCTTATTTTTATTTTACCAGGTTAGGCCCACTGAGCGCCGTAGCTCTTTTCCACAAGCGACCTGGCCACAATTCGTAGCTCAACGCAGCGGCTTATCATCGCGTGGAAATTTATAGCAGACAAATACTCTAAACGCGCGTTGCTTCTAAATGTGGAGGGAAAAACGGGAGGACCCGGAGAAATATCAATGCAACCACGGGGATAACACGCAAACTCCAAATATACAGCAGCAGGCGTCAGGGTCGGGATCGAACCCACGACCTCCTGTGTACCAGGCGAGGAAGTTAAAATCTCCTAGCCACCGTGGATAAAAATTGCAAAATCGTTTGACAACCTTCGTCACAGTACAAGCCGCTGGTGCAGCAGGACACAACTCCATGGACCACGCGCACACGGACACTGGAAATACATTCAGAGAAGTGACACTATTGTGAAATTTGAGTGACGCACGGCACGTTGCAACGGTGCATTTTACAGGGTGACATTCGCCAAAGCAATGTCCAATAAGCTCCATTGAGGTGGAAGTGAAAATGACTACGACACGCACTTGCGATATGCCGACAGCATGTATGTCAAACTTCTATCGCACCGTACGTAGCCGACCGTGCCAATCGGAGGGGCGATGCAGAGACAACATAGGAGCGTGGTGAAAGTTACTTTATCTTTCCAACGCGTGAAACCATGCAAGGCATGCATGTGAAACTATGCGCACTTAACAAAATGATGAGCAACGCTTGCTTTGAAGTGCTACGTAAAAAAAAAAATACCTAGGACCACACTACAAAAGAATGCGCCCCATCTCGTTTTTCTCTGAGTCCGGATGATAGCGATTGGATGGGACAACCACCATGGGGAAAAAAAGGTGTTTTGACTCATGGGCCAAAGCAGAAATTGGTACCGCTTAAGGTAGTAAAACTTGAGTCGTACCCAACGTATTTAGGTAACGAATACGTGAATCTCTTGATAACCCCACTCAGTTTGGCCGCTATAAATTTACACGATTAGCACGTTTGGCTAAGTACGGCGCCAAAGATGTTCAACATAATACACGATAAGCCACTTCGTTGAGCTATCATTTGTGGCGAGGTCGAATCGAAAAAATAGCTGTATATCTCAGTGAGCTTTGGTGGTAAAATTTTTAAAAGTTTATTTTGGTTAACGTGGTTATAACATAATTCACGGTAATTAGCCACGTACAAAAGAATTAAATGCTGAAGTTATGCCACCTCTGGTGGTACAGAGAAGTGAAATATCTGGTCTGGGCTCACGAGGCTATCATACGCTGCAGGAAGTGTGGGAAATTCCATCGTCACACCGAACTCCGCTTCCAGCACTTTGATGCTGCCCATCTTCACCAACCCACGCCGACACGTTAGGTGAAGTATGGTCAAATCATTCTGACAAACATCTGCAGCAGTGGACTGTACAAATGAACATTTTTGTTTTCTCAGGTAAGGCCTCACTGAACATGCATTCAGTGAGGACTTACTGTATATATTTTAAAAGATTAATTTATTTAAATGTCCACATACAAAATTCGGTTAAAAATGTAAGCATACATATCAGAATATGTATTTATACCGGAGGAATCCGATGAGCTATAAAGCTCTTTTTGATAGATGTCCAGTATCGATTTAAAGCTTTCGTAACTGCAGGGATTCATATTCTTGGTTCTTTCTGTAAAGTCACGTAGAAGGGAAACAATAACCGAAAGCACCAAGAATATAGATGTCCAGTAGTTCACAGATGTCCAGCAGTGGATTTTGCATTGTGTTAACATACATTTAAAACACATGTGACTGCACAGCAGTGACATAACATAAACATTTACTAAAACTAAACTAAAACAAACTTAATCTACCAGGCAAGGCCCCACTGAGCTATATACAGATATTTTTCAGAAGCGACCTGGCCACAAACGATAACTGAACGAAGTGGCTTATCACGTTGACATTTATAGCAGCCAAATACTTTCAATGCACGTTGATTCTAAATGAGGGGAGAAAACAGAGGACCTGGAGAAAAAGCCACACGACCACGGGGAGAACACGCAAACTCCAAATATAGAGACGTCAGGGTCGGGATCAAACCCACGACTTCCTGTACACCAGGCGAGGTAGTTAACATCTCCTAGCCACCGTGATGATGATGATGAGAGAGACACGCAAACTCGAAATATAGAGACGTCAGGGTCGGGATCAAACCCACGACCTCCTGTATACCAAAAGAGGTAGTTAACATCTCGATACCATGGTGCAGGGTAAGCAACATAGGGAACTTCCTAAAACTCTGACATCTATTTTACGTTACACTTGTGAAAATGTATAGAATGCGCAATGAATCATGCACATTCAATTACCTTGTTTTTTCTTCCAACTGATGTGTTCAAATGTACTGTATGTGTATTATGTTGTAATGTAATACTTGGTTGTGATAAAATACTTTGACATTCAAGGTTTATTCATCCTGAATAGTTGTCATCATTCTACCAACTGATGGATAAAGGCCTCCGCCCACACCTTTCCCATCCCTCACAGTACAGCGATGTCACAACCTGTCTCATCCCGTGCTTAGAACCCATCTTTAACGCTCCTTCTCTACGGTGATCATCCTCTCGGGTGCCACGATAATGAGATGTTAACTACCTCGCCTGGTATACAGGAGCCCATGGGTTCGATTCCTTATCGTGACACCTGCTGTATATTTGGAGTTTGCGCGTCTCTCCCTCGCCGTGGTCGTTTGGCTTTTTCTCCGGGTCCTCTGGTTTTCCCTCCACATTTAGAATCACGTGTGGAGGGTATTTGGCTACTGCCATACATCTCCTCGCGATGTTAAGCCATGTCGTTGAGCCATCGTTTGTGATAGCCAGATGGTTTGTGAAAAAGAGCTACATCGCAGCTCAGTGGGGCCTTACCTGGTATAATAAAAATAGTTTTAGAGTGCGTTTCTTCCTTTGGACTCCCTCTAGAGCAGGGGTGGGGAGCGTCCGGCCCGCAGGCCGTATGAGGCCCACGAAATAATTTGGTGTGGCCCTGCCAAGGCAACCGCAGGCGGGACTCGAAATTCAATAAATCTGGGAGCAAACCTGGAAAAGCAGTTGCGAGTAGCGACATCATCAATACCAGCTAACATCATCACACGCCTCGCCAAAGAGAAACATTAATAATAGGGTGTTTTCCCCTTTTTCTGGCAACAAAACTGAAACCTTTTTACAAGGATTCATGTCTACATTAACCACAATACCTGCAGTCAAAATGCAAACAAAAAATATACTATAAGAGAAGCAGCTCCAGCCATCACATTAAAGGGCAAGTTAATGAAATGTTTGACCAAATATAACGGGCAAATTTTTAAGTTGATAATTTTGTATGGCCCGCGAATGATGATATAAATATCCAAATGGCCCTTGGCAGAAAAAAGGTTCCCCGTCCCTGCCCTAGAGCTTCCCATGGTGATGGCCCTTCCCACCGGCAGTAGACCGGGCATGAAACTGCAGGGCTGCATCTTGTACACAAGTAACAGACCGAACCACCTGGAAGTAAACTTATTAAATGGGATGTTACCGTTGACAACTGCGTCGCGTTGGAGAGAGTGCAACGACAACGGAGTGGACAGTGGAGGGGTGTTGGCTAAATGGAAAACGGGGCGGACAAGTGATCAAAACCGCAAAATGAATGAAGGAAGGGAAATAGGACGGAGAATTCAGAAGCCAAACAAACCTCAGGAACACGGGCATTTGTGGGCAAGAAATAACGCCAACGTCAGCGGGGCCCCGGAGGGCGAGGGCGCGAGCCAAGAAAACGCGGGCGTTCGCGGCCGGGAAACCACGCGGTCAAGAAAAGTGGAAAGCAACGCACAAGGGTAGAGAAGACAACCGATGCAACCAAAGAGAAACGAAGGCGAGAGGCGATTGTAAATTCCAGGTTTATTGTCTACATTGGGGGGAGAGGGGAGGGTGTGTGTGGGGAGTGGCAGTCAAATTGCTGTGGTTTCTGAAACGGGCAAGCTCACAGACACCACTTGTGATTTGAACAACAATACAGACGCAACCTGGCAATTAAGAAGACGCTCCCCCAAGCCATTTAATTACAATTCAGGATGGTGAAAGAAAAAGAAATAGTTTAGGGCAGAAGAAGACAGTAGGAAAGGGCTAGAAGAGAAAGGCAGAGAGTAAGGAGAGGCAGCTAAAGGTGGGGGAGAAAGATAGTTGGGAAGCAAAGGTGATATAGAAAAAGTGAGGGAAGGAGTTGTAGCGATAGATAGTTAGGGAAGGAGGGGAAGCAAAAGGAAAGGATGAGAGAGATAGAGTTCAGGTAAAGCAGAAGCAAGGACAAGAAAAGCAAGAAGCGAGTGAGAAAAATCAAGTCTAGGAAATCGGAGGAGGAAAAATAAGATGATAGGAAGGCGAAAAGGTAAAAGTAAAGTTTCTAAGCGCAGGCAGCTTATGAAGAAAAGTGCAAGAGGCGACAGGAGAGAATGACAGGTAAGAACAGGAGAGAATTAAAGGTAAGAAGAGCATTAGATGTGAAAAGAGTGAATTGCAGGAGTGGATGTATAAATAAATAAGCGGCAGTGGCGAAATCACCGCGAGAGCTCTCGGCTTGGCGCGCAGCGGTGCGTGGGGGCCTGCAACAATTCATCGTCTCTCATCTCTCGGTCGAGTACAACGTCGCGAGCGCTGTAAAGGAGCGCACCGATGCGCAGGTTGACACGCATGGGGGTATTATCGGTATGTCTCTTCCAAGACGGCTTGATAAAAACAACAACAACACCATCGTCGGCCCAACCGGACAGAGATCAGGTTTATTACACATTGACGCCGCCGCAGCCGCAGTCACGCTCGGCGAAGGCTCTCCCTAACAAGTTGACCACTGTGAAGGAGGCAAGGTGGCAGCAGCAGCAGCAGCAGGAGAAGAAGAAGAAGTGGCGGCGACTCGGGGGCGGGGGGGGGGCGGGGACGTGGAAAGAAGGGGCCCCGGAGCCGTGACAGGAGAGAAGAGGAGGACTCAACCTCGCGGCCGACTCCAGCGACGACGCGCGCCAGTTCCGGTCGTGGGATTTTTAGCTGAGCGTACGGGGAGACACGGACGGACGGACGGACGGACGGACGGGCGCGTGGGTCAGCCGATGATTAGGCCGCCGGCGGAATATACGGCAGCCACAGAGAGGCCAAACGCGTGCAGAGGCAGAGAGAGAGAGAGGTGTTAGCCCGAGTAGGTTGCCGAAAACTCAAACACACAAGGCGTGCGTGCCACTGGAGTGGATTAGTTGAGTGCAGGTTAGCAAACTTACGGGTTTAATTTACATATTTTTTTCCAGTGAGTTAATCAATACACTTGTATTTAGTTCTCCGACGCTAAAGGTGTTTTCAGACTTACGAATAATAAATGTTAGGCTAATTAAAAACAAATATCTTTTCACTGTGTGTTGAAGAGACAAGCAGGCCATTACCAATGTATATGGTAAGCAAGGCAGTATGCAAGTTGCATAGAGTATATTATTATAAAAGTATAAAAATCATTACAATAATAATTTACAGCCATTTGTCAGTCCACTGCTGGATGAAGGCTTCTCCATGCCGTGTGTCGGTCACGGGGGATGTTTGACCATACTTCACCACACTGGCCAGCGTGGATTTGGTGAAGCCGGCGTCCCAGGACTGGTTCAGATTTCACTCGCCGCTGACGTTTAGCAGTGGCTGGGAATCGAACTCGGGACGCTGGTGTCGTGAACTAAACCAGCGGGGGCACCATAACAAGTCGGGGTCCCTGCAACGCTTTTGATTTGTCAAACAGCAGGGCTGTTACAGAGGAAGTTGCAGGCAGCAGAGAACACTGGGGAAGGGTGGGACATGCAAGAAGGCAACACAGAGAGCGAAGGAGAGAAATGAATTTACATGGAGGTCATGTCGTTGAGGGTGTGGTCCAGCTCCTCGCTGACAGCCTTGTACTTCAGTTTCTGGTTGTACAGCTCGTCTGCACGGGAGAGCCGCCGCCGGCAGACGGGTCAGGAGAAGACGGAAAGAGAGCGCCACGGTGGGGGGGGGGGCGGTGCAGCGTGGGGAAAGGGAAAGTGCGTGCAGCGGAGCACGGGAAAGACCAGCGTGGGAGCGTACGCCAAGGACGACAAAAAAAAACATCTGAAATGGGGCTGCCCGAAACGTCCACTGTTATATACAGAATCAGAATATTTATTTATACTGGAGGAATCCGATGAGCTACAAAGCTCTTTTTCACAGATGCCCAGTAGGGGCACGGAGTCAGCACGTTACAACAACGACAAGCAATACAAAAACACGATAGGAATGCCAAGTACAAGAAAAGTAAACAAATCACCCAAAACACAAACAACACTAAACCATCCCCGTCCTATCAGGCAAAGCCCAAAGCGACCTAGCCACAAACGATACCGCAACAAAGTGGCCCCATCGCTTGGACATTTGTAGTGACAAAATAATCTCCATGCGGCGCTATTGGTCTGTTCATAACGTTCGAGTATTTAGGTGTTCCACTGACATGTTACTGAAAAAAAAACCTTGAAGGATAGAATATTACGAGGCACCGAATAAGCCAGCACAGTGGCTCTTATAACCTGGGGTACACGCGCCCTCTGGGGGCACGAGATGGCCCTTTCTGGGGGTGCCCGGACATGGGCAGATTTTTTTCGAAGGAAAATCATCGAAAAGACAAATTAAGCACGGGCACGTAAGATCAACTTACTTTGTCATTAAACCTCTTTTGCCAGTACCAACATATAATGATAGGGTTTTTCACCTTTTTTCTGGCAACAAAACTGAAACCTTTTTACGAGGATTCATGTCTGCATTAACCACAATACCTCCAGTCAAAATGCAAACCAAAAACACACTATGATAATATATGCATTTTGACTGCAGGTATTGTGGTTAATGCGGACATGAATCCTTGTAAAAAGGTTTCAGTTTTGTTGCCAGAAAAAAGGGGAAAAACCCTATTATTATAACTTACTTTGTGTTTCTGAACATTATACTTTTTCTTAGTTTTTTCGGTAAAGTCACGTTGAAGAGAAACAACAAAATAATAAAATATATAGAAACAATAAAACATTCTCACGACGTTTCAACCATAACCCAAACGGCCGTCTTCAGGTGTGTTGGTTCGCATAAATGTATTTTTAAACGGCGCATTTATTTATTTATAAAAAAAACGTTAGCGTCACGCGCAACGATTTGGCAGTTTACCCAGGACTAGTCCATCTATATTCTGAAAAGAGGAGGGGGGAGCCATCTGGCTTCCATGAGAGATTCGTTCATGAGGCTATCCACATATACAAGCACAGAGACAATTTCAACCGAGAAGATGGATTCTATCTTAGCAATCATTGGAAAGATGTGATAAACCATTTCAGGTCTTAATTGATTGTTCACGCTTACAGTGGCTTTCAGACAGCATACATTATATATATAAAAAAAAAATTCGTCTCCCCCCTCCTCTTTTCAGAATATAGATGGACTAGTCCTGGGTAAACTGCCAAATCGTTGCGCATGACGCTAACGTTTTTTTTATAAATAAATAAATGCGCCGTTTAAAAATATATTTATGCGAACCAACACACCTGAAGACGACCGTTTGAGTTATGGTCGAAACGTCGTGAGAATTTTTTTATTGTTTTATATATATTTTATTATTTTGTTGTTTCTCTTCAACGTGACTTTACCGAAAAAACTAAGAATATGAATTACTGCAGTCACGAAAGCTTTAAATCAAAATTATACTTTTTTTTACGATTGAGAACCAAAGAGGTGCACAGCAAGGCTGCAGTAATGGTTAAGAACCACTGTGCTTGTAGAAGCCCCAACCCTGACGAAAGAGAGCGACTGGCGGCAGGCTTGACGGATGGGGGGGTGAGAAACCCCTGGACGTACCTTCCAGATCGTCGATGGTCTTCTCCAGCTTCGCCACGGACCTCTCGGCAAACTCGGCACGGGTCTCAGCCTAGAAGGGAGCAAATGCACCAATCGTTGTCAAAGGGAAGTTTTCTTCGAAGCGTCTGGACAGCATCGCTCTCCAATGTAAAAATAATTGGCAAGTGAATAAATCATGAGAGAACGGCAGCCAGGGAATAAAAGGCGTCCGAGGAAACGTCCACCAGATGTACACTTTAAACCATTTAACATTTTTATTTTACCAGGTGAGGCCTATTGAACTATAAATCTCTTTTTCAGAAGCGACCTGGTTATCACAAATGATAGCTCAGCAAAGAAGTGGCTTATCATCACGTGAAAATTTATAGCAGCCAAATACTCTAAGCGCACGTTTCTAAAAACGGAGGATGTGGAGAAAAATCCAGGCGACCACGGGAAGAAAGACACGCAAACTCCAACTATACAGGCGTCAGGGTCGGAGTCGAACCCATGACTTCCTGCGTACCCGGCGAGGTAGTTAACATCTCGCCACCGTGGCACCCCACGGAGCGATGAAATCGGCTCACGTACAGGTGCTGGGTGGATAATTGCATTGTGGAATCGAGAGAGATGGCAGTTGCTTGGGCGATGCATTCATCCAGCAGTGGATTGACCATGGGCGATGACAATATGACTAAGCATCCAAAAGTAAAGAGCTTTCCATCTATGGGCATAAAGAATTCATGTCAAACATTTCCCAGAAGGACAGGCTTTAAACAGCCGCCTTGAACCGGTTTGGAGTAAAGTCTCTCCCCCGGCGAGCTGTAACATCGACCGGGCCAGCTTTGACTTGCCCAGGTAGGTTACTGCAAGTGAGATAATGTCCGCAGCGATAGCTGCTGCGCTGATGAGCGCACGTGCAGGGGAAGCACAGAGCGCTGCCTCACCTCCTTCAGCTTGTCCGTGAGCACCTTGATCTCCTCCTCGTACTTGTCCTCTTTTTGCGAGTACTGAGCACAAATAGAAGATAGAGGGGGGGCCCATCGGGCATCTCGACAACATAACGCATCAAATCGGCAGACAATACGTCTCCTTCATGTACCCGTCTCTCCACGTTAACATTTTTCGTCAAAAGGATTTCTTGCACAACCCATTGGTCGTAAGCCCTTGCTTCTGGTACGTATAATTCACGTATATATATATATCCGTCTCTCCACTTTGAAAAAAATTAAAGGATTTTTTGCACAACGCATCAGTCATAAGGCCGTGCTTCTGGGAGTGCATACTTTCATCAGCTTTTATTTCAAGACAAGTAAAACTATGGACTGGTTTTCGACAGTGTTTCATCATCATCATCCTCAGAAACAGGATTGCTTGAATCAATGCTGGTGAACTGCCAATCTTATAGGTAAGGGTTCCTCTCCCCTTACAATACGAGGTCCGAGTTAAGACATTACTAAGATAGTCAAAATCCTCCTCCCAAACAGACTAAGGGTGTGAAGACACAATGCTGCACAATCCAGAACACCGGTGGCTTAAAGTTCTGGCGGCAAGGGCCTCCACGACAAGCAGCTTAAAAGGCAGCCCTGTCTGGAGAGTTTTCATCTTGGCCTACTCTGTCACGCTGGCCAGAGCCCTCTTGGAAAAAGGATGCAACTACCCACATGTTGCCCCGCCGATCGACTCTTTCGTATCTATTCACGCTGCTGCGTATAGATGGGGAGATTCATGAAACTTGCTCCCATTGTTTCAACCGCTGCGCCGGGAGGTGGAATCGAATCGGCGACCTCTGGATCGCGAGTCCAACGTGCTGACTGTTACACCACGTGGAGCTTCGCTTTATTTTGCGTGTTTCAAACCTTTTTCAGCAAAACGTTGATGACATCTTTACTAGGTCAGAGTATCCATTCCGGCTGCAAATGATACACACGTAAATGCACGGCATATGTATTCAGAAGAAAGGTGGACGCAATTGGGCAGTGCTGCCGATGCATCGGATTAGGCAGTGATGCCACAACAACCTGAGACAGAATGCCTCGATGAATTGTGTCACCGCTATTGGCCGATGCCCTCGCGCCACTGAATACCTCAGGCGTTGCTGCAGAACGATTGCAGTAACAGCTGAGGTCATGCACTTAGACCAGGGGTGGGGAAATTTTGGCCGGTGGTTCAGATCGTGCCTGTGAAGACATTTTAAATGGCCCGTGGCAACATGAGGCCTACTACTTCTGAACGGCACGGTACAAACAAATCTTTACCCATCGCGATGGGAATCTTAGCAGCGCTAGCCAGGTTCCAGTCGTGAATATCTTGGGTCTGTGTTGCTAATTTCCACATGGCCGAGACGCTCCTGTCACTGCAAGGGCTTGCAGAGACACGCGCGTTACTCTTCACGCTGTTCATTGCTCAACGGTTAAGGACTGTGTTGATGTGCGGCCCACGATGGTAAAAAGGGGCAGCCCTGCAACTTCACACTCGCATCACTGCGGGTGGAAGGGTCGTCTGCTAGAGGGCGCTCTCGAGAGCCTCTCGGCCCACAGAATGGATCTGGAAGTCCAATTCGGTGCTCAGTAAGCAAAATGTTCCCTTTACCCCAACTTAAACCGTCGTCGATTCCCTTCAAAGGCTGCAGAACCCATTGGCATAGTTCCTTGTCTACACTGCCTCATGCACGAGGAGAGCCTCTGAGGGACCCACACCTTATCGGACTGAGCCTCCAGAGACTTGAGGTTGTTGGAGACAGTTTTCAATTCTTCCTCCAGCTCGGCACATTTGCTGTTCGACCGCAGGTTCGGTGCGGCGAGGAAGAGGCACAAAGGGCCGAAGGAAAATGGGAGGGGAAAGGAAATAAAAACAGCCAGGACAGAGGGGAAAAGAATAAAGTGTGAGAAGCAAGAAGTACGGGCCGTAAAATGAAAAAAATGTTTAAACTGTTACGAAAAAATGTGTTTGTGTTGTCCACAATTAAAGTTGAAAGTGGACGGAAGCAAAGTTGACATTTTACCGCAAGCGTAAAAGTATTTTAAAAACTTGTGATTAAAAATTATTCACAGCGTGTTTACATTTTTTCAAGTGGCCTAAGAACCTCTCGGTGGGTATGTTTTCTTTACGGCCGTTGCGACAAGATACTGGTACAAAGAGCGCCGAGTGCCCACAATCACATTTTACCGCGTACAAGGTTATACCCGAGCAAGAACTTTGACAGCCATAAAAGCGGAGCGGCATAAAAAATACCAAGCCAGAAAGTTGGAGCTTGAAAAACAGAACGAAGCCATTGCATGCGCAAGGGTAAGTGCGCGGGCGCAGAGGGCGAGAGAGCCCGAACTGCCTGACGTGTTAAGACAATTAATTTCTTTACCTGTTCTTCCGACGCGAATAGGGACCTCAGTTCCTCCTGCACGTGCCTTAGTTCGTCTTCCATTTGCCGGACCCGGCTGATTGACGAACGATTGACGGGCAGCCAGGCGGGTTAAGCGTGCGACCAACACACACGCGTTAGTTAGTGAGCAGCGCGGTCAAGCCATGCGGGTTAGTACACCGTTTGCACTGTTTAAAAATACATGGGGGCGCATCTGTCCTTCACGCGCAAATTATTTATGAGGGTATTTTTAGACAGTCTTTGGTACACAGTGGGAATTTATTCCAAGCGAATCCACCAACTGAAACAAAAAAAAATGGATCGCCTGCTATCATTGCATGTAACATTAAATTTTAAACATTCCTAGATTTAAATATTGGTTTTTACGATTTATTGTACTTGCTAATTATGTATTTATTGCCAAAAAATTTACCCAGGAAAGCCTCGCCGAGTCTCAAGATACTTTCTTCAGGAGGGTCCTGTGCAATGGGAGGAGTTGGCCAATCCCACAAGGGGTAAACAATGAACACGAGCATCTCCTGACCACCGTGCAGCCCCATGTCTATAATACCTGGCAAGCCCCCGTGGTGGTTCACCGATCCAAATACTAAAGCAGGCTCAACTCGCCACGGTGGCAAAATGTTAACTACCTCGCCTGGTGTACAGGAGGTCGTCAGTTCGATCCCGACCCTGACGCCTGCATATTTAGAGTTTTGTGTGTTATCCCCAATGGTCGCGTGGATTTTTCTCCGGGTCCTCCGGTTTTTCCATCCACATATCGAATCGGCATGCATTTAGAGTATTTGGCTGCGATAAATTACCACGTAAGTAGCCACTTCATTGAGCTATAATTTGTGGCCAGGTGCTTCTGAAAAAGAGCTATATAGCTCAGTGGTCCTTACCTGAAAAAATTCAAAATAGTTTTTTTTATTCAGTTTAAGTTTCCAACATGTAATGAGATCTGGTACATCTCGGGTCATTTGGTCAAAGGCATCCAAAAAAAAAAACCTTCCGATCTCAACGGGCTCTTACCTGGTTTTTAAGAGGTCAGATATTCATCTATTTTAGGCGCGAGCCAAAAATGTAGCAGAACGTAGAAACTGCACGGTACAGGCCATCCAACAATACTTAAGGGTGTTAACACGTGCTTTGGCAGCCGTTTCCAACGCGTCCCGTGGTCGTACACGCATTCGACACGAGAATCGCTGCGCGTTCGCTCGCGTCGCACGCGGCCGCCGTGATTTCCCGCGGGCCGCACTCACGTTTCTGAGATCTCCGCGCGCTCCTCTGTGCGCTCCAGATCTCCCTCAATGATGACCAGCTTACGGGCGACCTAGAGTTCCGCGAAGGGCAACGCGCGCGCACGCACACGCAACCACCAGGGACGTTACAGCCAGGGCTGCGTTTTTCTGCGAAATTGAAAACTAATTTCTTTAGAACTGTTTTTGTTTGTGTTCGGTTTGTTGTGCATGCCCCCGCACATCCGATTAGGCACGGTTGCCTGTGTACGGCGGTGCGAAATAATTTCAACATAGAGTCGAACCCCTCTTAACGACGGTAAATGGTTCCGCATAACCGGTCGTTAAGTGATTTGGTCGTTAAGCAAGTATAGGAAATACATACTCTTTGGTTCTTTTGGTAAAGTCACGTAGTTAGTTATTTCTAGTTAGTTATTTATACCTACGTGACTTTACCTGAAAGAACCAAAGAGTATGGATTCCTACAGTCACGAAAGCTTCAAATCAAGTATAGAAAATACACGGTAAAGGTTTAATTCGTTCCGATAACATCGAAAGTTACCCTTTTCCACCCAATTTCACGTACTTTAAAGATACTAAGAAGATTATAAACACATAATATTAAAAGAAACATGGCAAATCGATTCATTATTTAATTATTTACTCCATCTACAACAGCCCGCCGTCAACAAGGGAATGGTCAGTAAGCAAACACATTGGGCTTTTTGGAAGCCCGTCATGAAGCCATTAGTCATTAACAGAGGTGGTCATTAAGAGGAATTCTACCGTACACACATACATAACCGACTGCGGGTTTTCTATCTGGATAACCTGCCCATGGGTAATTAACTTTGCAGATTACAACATTGGGGTGGTATAAGTATTATTATCCTGTGTTGATGATGTCATAAATGTGAAATTCTGCAACAGAATGACTTTGTTTTTTTGTCAAATTGACAGCTGCAACCGTGTTGTGCTCTGCATTCGAAAGGAATCGCGTATACGGACTTGACATTTTTTTCTGGACATGTGTCTAATGCTTTTAAAACGAACTCCGCTTACTCCGAGTAATTATGTATGACAACTTAGAAGAGGCTAATGTATCATCATTATCCGTGCGAAAATAATACAGAGGATTTTTTTTCTCTCTCTTCCCGACAACCCCTTTTTGAATAAGCTTCAATAACGGCTGTCCATTCAACGTGGACCATTTAACGAGGGTCCACGCGGCGTTTGTATTCGCGTAAAAATCTAATTTCAGACAGTTCAGACATGACTACGAAGATATGAATTGGCATAAAAATACAAATCATCATACTTATCTGTTTTCATGCAAATATACCCTCATACTACGTTAATGATGGACCGATAGTCATTATTATAATCCTGTGCTCATATTCCTTTTCATTAACACAAATTCAATAATGGAATTACTTTTGTCGCTTGTGAATGAATGGCTTGAATGGTTGTATTGTATCGTACTAAATTGCCACTTATTTTTAAATAGCACATTAATTATTGCAGCACCACAAAGTATCATCACCACCACCCTTCACTCTTTGACAATGTTTGAGAAATTCTACGAATTAATGACTTTCGTTGAGGTCACATGAACATCTTGAATGGAGTTATTCTTGAAGTGAGCGAGTGAGCGAGCCACACCAAGTCGTCAAGTGAACTCACCTCCTCGTACTTGCGGTCAGCCTCCTCAGCGATGTGCTTGGCCTCTTTGAGCTGAATCTCCTGAAGTTCCATCTTCTCCTCATCCTTGCCAGCCCGGTTCTCAATCACCTTCATGCCTCTGTGGAAACACGCCAGGAACCGCGTTCAAATTATTGATTCATTATTATTATTATTTTATTTATTATTATTATCTTATGATCGTCCAGCCGAGCTGCGTGACAGCCACTCTATCTGCAGTCCGGAGGGCGCTGAGACCACCATTGAGTCTCATCAGGGGCAGCATTGGATCAGGATTTGCCTTGTGCTCTACATCAGTACCGGTGGCGAGATGTTCACTACCTCGCCTGGTATACGGTTAGATTCCGACCCTGACGCCTGTATATTTGGAGTTCGCATGTCTCTCTCCTCGTGGTCGTGTTAATTTTTCTCCAGGTCGTCCGGCTTTCCTCCCCCCCCCCACCCCGATAACATTTAGAAACATGCGTTTGAAGAATTTGGCTGCCGTAAATTTACACGTGATAAGCCACTTCGTTGAGCTACCATTTGTGGGCAGGTCTGCTTCTGAAAAAGAGCTATACAGCTCAGTGGGCCTTGCCTGGTAAAATAGAAATAGTAAGTAGTAAAAAAAAGAGGGTGGGTCTCCCTTGGTGGACTGTTCCCCCGACGCGTTCTATTCCCTGGCTGCTGCACTCTCATTATCATCGACCGTTGGCCCACGTGGGCATTTATTAACTTGCCAATTATTTTGATATTGGAGGCTTCAGCGTAGCGATGTTGTCCAGACTTTGCAGCAAACTCCCCTTGAAAATTATTCACGTATTTGAAGCTAATGATCCGGGCCAACGGACCGCATTCTTCAAGAACAAATGCATCTCGGTCACTTGCCACACCGATAACCCCGGGCGGAGTTTGCCATCCCTCTGACTCGATGTTGGGGGGTCGGTGGTTGCCTGCCAAAGTGCGGCCCAATCGGCGACTTGGCGCAATTCACCGTCCCGCGTGCTAATGGTGACTGAACACAGTACAAGTGCATCGATGTCTGTTGTATATTGATGAATGTATTACTAAAAATTAACCTTTCTGAAGACAATTATCAATTATGTAATTCAGTTTAACAGCTCAAAAGACCACAATATCGATGAAAAAAGTCTGGTTACGTGTTCAATGGCAATATTGATTTTTTTTTCTTTTTAGGCTTATATTAATGCTTTTAAAATGCATTTGTTATTTTGCTAGTGATGAATGTACGACTTTAAAGGTGAGTGTATTACAATCCACGTGAGAATGATACACTGTAACATTGTTTTTGACCAAACTGCTTTTAACAAGTGCAATAACCACTGGTTTAACCACATTTTTCAACCAGAGGGTCATTTAAGGAAAAAAGATAATGCATTTCCATTTTCAAACAAACGTAATATTTGTACCATTTAGTAATAAGTCCAAAGATTAGAATTTGCCTACACGTACATATCTTACGACTTTTCTCTTCCCCCCCCCCCCCTACAATGTTATCCCGATTGTGTGATCTGCACCCCAGCCACGAGATAAAGAGTTTGCAACAACAAAAACAAACTCTCCAATGTAATGTAAACTGGGCGGTCGCGGTTCTCAGGGGAACTTGCTCAGTACCCTGGCCTCTCAACTGCACTGGGCTGCTCTAAAAAAAAATCTTCTCGTCTTCGAAGCCACGTCGCACGTTCTAAGTGGCTTTTTTTTAGGCGCACCAAACCAACCGCAGCTATTCGTTTAACGTCGGGTTACACCTCCAACGTGAGCAATTGTTCCTGCAAGGGGGAAGTGGAGGGATGCTAACATTGTGTCTCACCTGTAAAAGCACTGTATCAAAATTGCCAACATCAGTGCTAACTGCAGGGTACACATGCCTTCCAGTGGAAACAAAACAATTACATGTAAAGCCCTTTTGTCAATACACCACATGGGCCTTGGGGGTTATTTGGCCATACTTCACCACACTCGTCAAGTGTGGCATGGTGAGGAGAAATTACTTGAGAGCACAGCAGTACAATACAACAACGGGTTTCACTGCACTGTCCTCTGCCGCCCATGACACAGCCCCGCGGGAGCCTATTACAACGCTGTTGTGCAAAACGGTCTCCAATCCAAGCACCATCTGGGCTCTACCCTGCTCTGCTTCCATGGTGTGACGAGATCGGGTGGATGCATTCCGTGTGCTTCGGTTAGAGGAAACGAAAAATAAATACCGTACAGATAATACGATCACACAAACGATACATCATGTAACCCGTGCCGGTTTGCTCCCATGGAAATAATTTATGTTAAACGTTTTAAAACAAGTCTTCTTCTTTCGTACGGCTGCTGATGTAGTCGATGCAGACCAACAACTACATTTTCACATTCAGGGTGGTCAAGCCAGATAACCGCGTCAGGAGCAGCGGAGTGCATCTGCTGCGATGTCTCCACCGGATTTGTGGATCGGACGTCGTGTCGTTTTCCGGTCTCTGTTCTGGATGATCAAAGTCGCATACTACTACTGGAGATTTTTTTAATTTTCCGTTTGTGCATCAGGTATCTGCATCTCCTGCCATGATTTGTGCAGTGGATGGGATTCAGGGTGGACCATGAGCAGCTTTGTGGAAGATCAAACCCGGGGATCTTCTGCGTTGGGTCTTTCGCAAGGTGTTTGGTTTGCGAGTTATTTTAAACTCCATTCAGCTCTCCACAGGTGGATCGTCAAGTAAATGGCATTTATTGCTTCTCTGCTGTAACAAGGCCTGACAACAGCGAGAGGGAGAAGCCGATACATCTGTAGCAGGGCCCCGAAGTTCAGTAGCCCCCCCAACCATTGCAAAAAATGATTTTTTTTTGTATTTACATAACAGGAGCCCTCCTGAGCCAGCATTTTAGGTACAGGCAGATCTGGGGTCAAGTACATTTGTAGTCGTGCAATTCGTTATGAATTACAATCACAATGTGATTGTAAAGGAAATTTTGGTTAACGTTGCTTTTGCAATTGTAATTTTAATTGATCCCGGGTGTGCGTACCACGGCCTCAAATCGCTCTCGATGCCCCCCCGGCCATAACCAAGCACCTGAATCACGAAGGGGTGCGGTGGTTGCGTCATGCAGCAAACACGTTGTGCCTTCACCATGCCTCAAAAACCTGCAAGGGAGCGACCTGCAGCCTGCGTTAATTAAATAACCGCCTTTCGTTACTTGGAAAAGGCACAACAAGACTGCCTTCACAACTTTCAGAGAAACCAACTATGATGGGTATATATTTTTTTTTTAAATGTGAGGCTTGTAAAATTCATGAAGCCCAACCGGTTAACTGGCTGGGTGGATGGAATCTGCTGCACTGCCTTATTGCTTACAAAGTAACCCCACAGCAATCTACAACACCTGCTTCTTGTATGATGGTGACCCATCCAAGTAATATCCAGGCTCAACCAACCCTTGCTTTGTTTCTGAGATATGACCGAAATGGCAGCATTTCAGGTGATTTGGCCATGTGCAGGGTTTAACAGCAAGCAATGTGGTTGCTCGTGGTCACTAAATATAAACTAAACTAAAAACTAAACTATTTTTTTTTCCAGGTGAGACCCACTGGAGCTATATAGCTCTTTTTCAGAAGCAACTTATAGCAGCTAAATACTCGAAATGCATGTTGATTCTAAATGTGGTGGAAAGAAATCGGGAGGACCCGGAGAAAAATCCACACGACCACGAGGAGAACATGCAAACTACAAATATATACAGGTGTCAGTGTCGAGATCAAACCCACGACCTCCTGTACACCAGGCGAGGTAGTTAACATCTCTCCACCGCGGCACCCACAGCAACAACAAAATATCCACAAGTGGACAGACGGTTGGTTCTGACCTCTCGCTCTCGTCGGCCGCCTTCTCGGCATCCTCCAGCTTCTGCAGGGCGGTGGTGAGACGCTCCTGCGCTCTGTCCAGCTCCTCCTCAACCAGCTGGATGCGCCTGTTCAACGATGCCACGTCAGCCTCAGCCTGCGGAACAAAAACGATCGTCGTTGGTTGGAGCGACAAGAATCGCAACAACGAGAGAGATGTTCCCGAAAAAATTCCAGCTAAGACGTCATTTTTTTGCCAGGGCCATAGCCGACTTTGTTTTAAATGAGCCACAGTCACATGAGGCATCATCATCACGATCCAGGGGCAGATCACCCGTTGGTGTCCACTGCACGTTTCGTCATTTGTTTCTATTTTCCTCTGTCGTGGCACATCTTTCTGGCACCAACCTCTTACGTCATCGTAAAAACATTCTCAATTAGGTCTTCCTCGCTTGCAGGTTCATTCCATTTTTCCCTGAACACACTTTTAATTTTTCTGTTGTTGTCCATCCTACATGTGTCCAAGCAGTGCCAGTTTCCTTCTCGTCACTGCCTGCATCTTCTTCCATGTACAACCATGAGGCATAGCACTTTGAAATGATCCTCATCTGTCACTGCGTGCATCTTAGCCATACTAATTGGGTACGACTGGGGAATAAAACTGCTACAATTAATTGTGGCAATTCATTGAATTGTGTAAGGTTGGGAGCCAGGGGAGGTCAAATAAATAATCACAGAACTCATACTGATGAATTCGCACATAGCAAGATAACCAAATACATATTTGGGATATAAGAATAGGTTTTACCGTTTCTGGCAATAAAACAGTTGTGTTAAGGTGTTAAATGTTTTATTGCCAGAAAGGGTAAAACCTATTCTTATATTTGGATACTGGCAAGTGAGGTTCAATGAAGTATTTGGGACCGCACGATTGTAAACTGTGCAATGTATATACTGTATATTTCATTCACATTGGCATCCTCTATGAACATGGTTCAGTGAGACTGAAGGGTAAAGAAAAATAAACTACCCACATAGTAGGGGAAACACTACCATTCAACACATTAACTAATAAAATAAACTAACCTTGTCTAAATACCCTAATAAATACTAATAATTCCGTTGCCAAGTTGTTACCTGCTTCCACAGGCAATTGTGGCAATTAGGGCAAACCACAGCAGGGAAAACACCTTTCCCGTTCCATTTGCTTGTCAATCTAAATTCGCGAATTTACGGTGCAGGAGTTACGTGCCCCCCCCCCCCCATGCTTTACACAAAAGTGAGTGCGAAGCAACAACATCATTCTGTCTTCTACAAAGCACACCACGCATTATTAAAAAAGAATCATACTTAAAGTAAATTATTGAACATACATAACCACGGGTATCTTATTCCTCCACTTCCGATTGTATACGTAGGGCCTAAATCTAAAGCCACTGTTAAAATAATTCCTCCTCCATGCCATGCTGGTCTTAAGGGTTATTTGAATATATACGGTGCTGAACTTTAAACACTGGTGAGCGTGGGGAATTGGTGCGGGGGGGGGGGTTTAGATGCAGACCTAAAAGTACACAATGGATTTTGCTGTTCTGCACTATGCTGCCTACATACAACGCCGACTATCTAGGCTCAACGCTGCTCCGCTTCTGAGAAAGGGCGCATTCTGGGTGATACGGCCAAAGGCCAGGGTACCGTCACCATTACATGGCACTGTACTATATTATCAGCAAATAAATCAGTACGTTACTGAAAGTGGCAGAAAGCCTAGTCACCAATAACCATAAATTTTACGCTGTAGTGTGAGGTCAAAACTATGCCATTATCCGCACTGCATTCTTTCAACACCAATCACTTACTGAAACAAAGCCCAACAACATCTGCTGTGCCACAAAGCCAATAACTCAGAAATGCAATTAAGCCTTGTGAACATGCAATAACCTAAGTGCCAGTGTGTGTGTGGAATGAAAACAATGTCCAGCTGGAGAGATGCATGCCAAGTCTATCTTGTGAAATTAAACGCTCATCGGCAGATGCACTGGAGTGAATTATTACACTGAATTGACAGCGTTGAGACAGGCACGGGAAGACCACATTTTTTTGGGCACGAAGTTTTGAAAGTACATTTTTGACATCTATGTCAAAAACTAAATGTTAGCCCACCCTCCCCATCTCAGAAATGTAACCAAAAATACAGGTATTGCTGCTGTCTAGAGCAACTTCCTTATGGGAAATGCTGACAAAGTGAGCACGGTTGGCTACGTACGGTGCGAAAGAAGTTTGACGCGCACAGACACGAAGAGCCGAGTTATTAAGCCCCTTTGTGAATGAACGCACGGCGCAATGTTTGGAATACTGCGGAACGTAAACAAAGAGTCCCTTTAAAAATCGGTGGCGTTTATTTGAAATTGACACCACTGGTGATAAAGAGTTATCGGCAAATCGCAAAATTGCAGCGTCTTTTGTGGGGGTTTTTTGTTGTTGTTGCAGCATCTCTGCCTGTGACAAATCGCCCGGAATGCACCCGATCTGGTCCCACCTCGGCGTTTGAAGGGTTGAGTATTCGGATAGAAGACCACCACACCTCACACAAGTGATTTCGGGTAGCAGAGGGCAGTGGGACAAAATCAATTGTGCTGTAATATTGGCCACATCTATGAGCCTCCTCACATTCAAACCTGCACTGACCACGACCTCCATCGTATGGGGGGGGGGGTGTCATCTAGCAGTGGATTGACAAAAGGACTTTACACGTACAATATGCAGCATCTACGTTAGGCCATGCTGTTCCACCGTGATGATATAGAGCAGACATCGTCTTATTACAGTATCTACGGCAGCTAAAAATGGTCTTAATCGTGGGATAATCAAATTGGTGTCAAAAGTAAAATCCTGGTCATGTCTGGACCCTTCAGCCTTTTTGTTAAACGATAGCTGGATGAAGGCCTCCCCATGCAGTATAGAATACAGTAGAAATTAAGATGTATATATAGTAAAATTAAGCTATTAAAACCTCGGCTATTGCGACTTAATAAAAGTATTTTTTCGTATTATTTTTTCATTGAGTTTGTTTTCATTGCATAACAGTCCACACGGTCACTTTTTCAGTGAAATTCGCAACAAGGAAAAACTATGTACATTTCCTTAAAATTAGAGTTAGACCTTTAACAAATAACAGGAAAATCTAAATCCAATAAATAATGCCAAATACAGAGGCCCGGGCCTAGAAGCCTGCGTTGCCACGCCACTCTCCTAGAAGCCTCTACCGCTTGGGGCGCGCCACACCCGGCAGGGCTGCAGATTGGCTGCAGGGGTGCGGTGGTCCCAAACCGGACCCTTAACGTGGCACTGGTGACGCACGCACCTCCCAATTGCAGTGGCGTGCACCAAATTAGACTGCAAACTTTTTTTTATTTTAACGTTAATTAAATGTTTTCCCACCAAGTTGGAAATTACAGCGTTTAGCCAATTATGATAAATCCCCCTTTCGTGTGGTGTCACAATGCCACGAGGATTCCAGTGCAGTATATTAGGACGGGTTTAGTGGTTACTTTAAGATACATTACCTACATAAAACAAGACAGTTCCTAAAAACACCCAAAGCAACCGCGAACACCTTCACAATCTATCGTCGTAATGTTACAACAAGAGGTAAACTCAAGGGGGTCGACAGGGCCTTCGATTTATCGCAAAACGTGGCTAAGTTAACGAGCGAATGTCCACGGGATGTACTCTCCCTCGCCACCGTAACGTGGACATCTCACCGCTGGCTCGCGTGAGCGAGAACTTGCGATGATTCTGTTTGGAGTGGCTTATGCTGCTGCTGCTGTTGTTCATTGTGAACGATGATGGTGAAACACTTCATTAAAGAACTAACACGGCTGTATGTGAGTACGTACAGGTACGGCAGGAACAGGTGAGCGTTATTAACCAGCCTTGAGATAAAAAGCAAAAGGCGATGAGCGTGGACGTTTCGGTGCCTTTTGCTTGCTGTGTCTCCTTCTTGGACGATCCGTGGCTGCTGCTGATGATGCTGTCTGCTGCTGATGATGATGATGTCTGCTGATGATGATGTCGGAAGGAGAGCGATCGAGGCATCCTAAGCCAGGTTTCAGGGGGGCTATAGGGAGACCAGTGGCGAGCTATCGCAGGCTTGCCCCCCACCACTTCTCCTCCACTTTAAATAAATCCTCAACACGTTTTCTTACACACACACAGTACTTTAACATAACACGACCACGGCTGATGGCTGCACGCTGATGAATTTGTCACAGACAAGAACTTAACCGCGTTGGTTGCGACGCCACGAGTCAAAACACGGCACACACACACACATGTACTGTACAAACAGGCGACGTTTCGGGCAAGCGGCCTCGCCCAACTCTTCCCCCCCCCCCTTCCCTTCCAATCTTCCTGCCATGCTGAGAACCCGTAGCCCGAAACGGACCTCAGGTGGAGGAAGGAGCTGCTTTGGTGAAGCCTCTGGCTCGACTTGTCCACCTCCTTCAACCCTAAGCGAGACAAGATATCTATTTATGTTTAAAAAAAATAGCCCCCCCCCAATCTCTCCTCCTATTCCTCCCACCACCATCATCATCATCCTCTTACTTTCTCTTTGCCGTCAATCTCGAAGTCGAGCAGCCTCTGGAGCCTCGAGACATTATCTTCCGTCTCGTCGGCCCTTTCCTGCAGCGCGCGGATCTTCATCCGCACCACCTCCACGCAGTTCGCGACCGTAGTCATGGCCAGCGAGATAATAATAATCCTCCTCCTTCACGGCGGACAAAACACCCGCGACGTTCCGCCACCACCACCACCAACAGCAGCAGCAGCAGCAATCCACAGCCAAGCACCTCGACCCCGGAATTCAACTTTAACCTTCGCAGGAGCGCTGTGGGTGGTGCAGCTGGTGGTGCAGCTGGTGGTGGTGGGTCTTTGCTTTAAAAAGTTAACAGAGTTGGTGGTGGTTTGGTTGTTGTCGTCTTGAAGCGACCGCCTTGTGGTTGCTGCTGTAAAGCAATGCCCTGGTGGTGGTGGTAGTGGCTCACGTCCACCTGGGACGGATGGCGAGGTGGGTGGGTGGGGAACGCCTCGGTGACGTCTCGGGCCCGCCCTACAACCCTCGTCACCCACAAAGACAAAGGATCCACACCACCGCAC